TTCATTTTTCTCTCGTGCTGGAACCTTCCTTCTGTTCCTCCTGCCCTTCGACATCAGACTCCAGGTTCTTCAGTCTTTGGACTCTTGGACTTACACCAATGGCTTGCCAAGGGCTCTCAGGTGGCCTTCAGCTACAGACTGAAGCCTGCACTGTTGGCGCCCCTACTTTTGATGCTTTTGGACTGGGACTGACCCACTCCTGGCTTCCTACCTCCTGAGCCTGCAGGTGGCCTATCGTGGGACTTGACCTTGTGATCATGTGAGTCAATTCTCCTTAATAAACTCCTTTTCATATGTACACATATCCTATTAGTTCTGTCCCTTTGGAGAATGCTAATACAAATACCCAAAGACTTGTCCCTACTTCCTGACAGTACCCAATCCAGAGTGAACCCGTACTTCCTTGGATCCTCCCCAAATCACCTAATCACACCCAAATCCTACCACCCTTAAACTGAGATGTGCTACAGTTCCCAAAGGTACACCCATGATGTGCAATCTCCCTTCTTCCAAAGAACATTAAACCCAATTTGTTTAACTATCCGTGTGTTTCTGGAGGTTTTTGACTGAAGGGCAATAATGGCATTGTCTCCTTCTAACGTTAGTATTTTGTAGAGTAAACTTAGCTCCAAGGAAGATTTGCCTAAGGTTATATTACTAAATAAAAGTCGAACTAAAGATATAGACGCTGCAAATAACTTTCAGATAGAGAAAAAAAAAAAAACAAATGTTCATCCAGCTAAGTTTGAGACAGTGCCTTAAGGTTACTGGGAACACACCAAGACTTAGGGTAAACTTAAAATGAGCGGAGTTTGGCAAATTGGTATCTGTATTACTTTAGGTAGCCAGACATACTTGAGCAGGGCAGGAGAGGACTTCCTCCACCCCATCCAGGAATGTCAGGCGACCTTCAGGTGATGGTCAGGCAGTTGTTAAACTATTTCTCTAAAATAATCATTGGTCTCACCTGGTGTCAGGGAAAGGCATTCTCCCAATAGATGGAAACTACTAGCATCTGGTGATCAACAGCTTCTGGATGAGATTTTGGGAGAGCGGGCTCAAACATGCTCACTAAGAGGCAAAACGGTGGAGTTTAACTTGTATATGACCTTCCTCTAGGAACATGACTGGTAAGGGAAGAATGTCCCAAGTGAGTATGTGCACAACTTCAGCAAACACACTATGCATGCCGCCCCTACCAAGTGCTGGCAGGCCACTGAGCATGCGGACAGCCCAAGGGAATAATCGGGAGAAGTAATGCAAGGCCTAGAACCATACCAATGTATCATCTCCAAATCAAGAGTCAGGTGGCACAGTTGAATCTCTCAAGTTGCCCACTTGGCCCTCTTCCAAGTGTACTTTATGTACTTTTATTCCTGTTCCAATACTTTTTAATAAACTCTCACTCCTGCTCAAAAACTTGCCTTGGTCTCTCCCTCTGCCTTAAGCTTCTTTCCCTTGAGGAGGTAAGAAGTGAGCTGCTGCAGACCCATGCAGATTTGCTGCTGCTAACAATTTCATTCAACTGATGTTCTTGGTTGGCAACTTGAACTTTCTGAAGAGTTAGTATTTGTTGTAAGGATAAAACCACATTCAACATTTGCCTTCTAACAAAAATTGAAGTTATTTCCAAAGCAATTAGATTAACAATGGGCACACACATAACTTTCCAAGCTACTCAAGATCAGCAAATTCACTTGTCTCATTCATTCAGATTCATGTACTCATTTTTAAAAGTTCTCCTGGGCAGTACTGACTTCATCAGCTTTTCCCAGTTTCCATTACTGAGACTTCTAAAGCCACCATGGCTTAAGCCACCATCAATTTTTAGTGTTACAGGAAGGCAGGAGAAACTGTGTTTAAGCATAGGAAAAGAAGTGTGGAAACAAGAATATTGCATTTCTAAAAATACTGAAAGTTAAATGCCTAAGAGTAGAACAACAACTTTACATCTCATGAAAGACTCCACAGGTAGACAAAAATTATAAAAGAATTTTAATATACATATTGAAATTACAAGAATATATACCTGCTTAAATATGATGTAAACCTGAAAAGGACTAAATATTTTCAAAAATAACTTGTTTCAAACAATCTTGTAGCTTACTTGAAGGACATTTTTTCTCCCAACTTGTATTTTGAAAGAGTTAAAAACTACAGAAAAGTTGCAAAAATAGAAGAATGTGGTACACACCTATAGTCCCAGCTACTCAGGAGGGTGGGGCAGGAGAATCCCTTGAGCCTAGGAGTTTGAGGACAGCCCCGGCCGGCAATATAGCAAGCAAGACTCCCCTCTTAGAAAAAGAATAATGGGCTGGGAGCAGTGCCTCATGCCTCTAATGCTAGCACTTTGAGAGGCCGAGATGAACACATCACCTGAGGTCAGGAATTCGAGACTAGCCTGGCCAACATGGCAAAACCCTGTCTCTCCTAAAAATATAAAAATTAGCCAGGCAGGGTGGCATGCACCTGTAATACCAGATACTTGGGAGGCTGAGGCAGGAGAATTGCTTGAACCTGGGAGGTGGAGGTTGCGGTAAGCTGAGATCATGTCACTGCACTCCAGCCTTGGCAACATAGTGAGACCCTGTCTCAAAAAAACAGAACAGAAAAGACAAAAGAATCATCAACAATGGTATACTCTTCATTTGGATTCCCCAGTTGATACTATTTTGCCATATTTGCTTTTTCTTTCTCTGCCAGTGTACAATCACTGGATGACCATACATACACTTCATGACCATGTTTCAATGATTCCGTCAATGGCAGAATATATATGACGGTAGTCTGATAAAATCGGAATATTTTTTCTGTATCTATCCTATGTTTAGATGCACAGATGCTTACTATTGTGTTACAACTGCCTACAGTGTTCAGTACAGTAACATGCTGTACACGTTTGTAGCCTGGGAGCAAGAGGCTGTACCATATAGCCTCGGTGTGTAGCAGGTGCTACCATCAAGGTTTGTGTAAGAACACTCTATAATGTTCACACAATGAGGAAATCGCCTAATAGCACATTGCTCAGGATGTATTCTCATGGTTAAGCAATGCAAAACTGTATAAATGTATGTATTTTTTCGAGTCATTAGAGAGTTAGTTGCAGGCCTCATGATTCTTCACCCCTGTTTCAGCATGTATTTCCTAAGAACAATCTCCTACATAACTACAATATAAATATCATAAGGAAAATTAATGTCAATATTACCAATGCCATCTATAATGTATATGTCTCCAATTGTCCTAATATGGTCTTTTAGTTTTTTTAATCCAGGTTTTAATTAAGGCTCCCATATAATGCCTGTCACATCTCTAGTCCCCTTTAATGTGATACTATTCCTAGCTATTTTTTGGTTTTCACCACACTGATGTTTTTAAAGAGTTCAGGTCAGTTGTTCTGTAGAATGTACCTCCATGTGGATTTGTCTCATTGTTTCCTCATAATTAGTTTCAGTATAGACGTTTTCAGGGGAAATCCTATGCAAGTGATATTGTGTTGTCACTGTGTGTGGGGGGCGAGGGGGCGTGCATGAAGTCAGTTTATCCCATTATTGGTGATGGGACACCATTACTTCATCATTTGGTGAAGCAATACCTGGAAAATTTCTCCATTGTCAAGGTACCCTTTCTTCTTCATGAGACTTGGAGACTATGTAAGCATTCTCTCATATATTTGCATGTTTTGATATACGTAAACCTTTCCCTGAATGGTTTTAGAATCCACTCATTAGTGACATTTCTCATTAGAGAAAACAGTACATTTGGAAAGACCTGCTGATGGAGGTCTGCGGTGGGAAGTTGTGATACTTAACCTTTCTTAAATATGTGGAGGGCAAATTGAATAGAAAAGCGTGTACAAAATTGAACACATTTGATTGCATGGATATTTTGCCTTAAAAAGAACTGTAAATGAATACTTAATGTATGTAGATGTCTTCATGGGTGTAGAGTACTAAGGTCTGCGTTTAAAAAAAAAAAAAAAAAAAGTAAGATGGAGCTGGGCGCAGTGGCTCCCGTCTGCAATCCCAGCACTTTGGGAGGCCGAGGCAGGCGGATCACAAGGTCAGGAGATCAACACCATCCTGACTGACACGGTGAAACCCCGTCTCTACTAAAAATACAAAACATTATCCGGGCGTGGTGACACGTGCCTGTAATCCCAGCTACTCCGGAGGCTGAGGCAGAAGAATCCCTTGAACCCGGGAGGTAGCAGTGAGCCGAGATTGCGCCACTGCACTCCAGCCTGGGTGACAAAGCAGACTGCGTCTCAATAAATAAAATAAAATAATTTTAAAAATAAGATGGTCTGATGGAAGAACAGGTGGATAGCAATAGAGCAAAATGTTAACAATTGGGGTACATAGGTGGTCGACATGCGTGCACTGTACAAGTCTTTCCACTTTTCTGTAAACTTGAAAGTTTTCATAATAAAAATTTGGATTAGAAAAACTACTGCAAGAGTGCCACCAAAGCGTTTGAAAAGCAGGATTCAAAGGCTGGCATTCGCTGACGACTCAGAGAAACCCACCCACCGCCCCCACGCCAAGAAGCCCTCGGCAGCCCGGCCTTCTGAGCCCTGGCACCGAGGGGCTCTCCGCCCCTCCCCCGCACCGGCCGCCTCCTGCTCGCCCGGCCTCAGTCTGTTCTCAGAACACACTCCATCACCTGGTTCCCAGAACTCAGATTGCGCAGTGGTCTCGTCATCATCGGCCAGAGCTCACAGTCACCGCGGCAGAGGCCCCACTAGACTGCCCTCCCGCCCCGCCTCGCCCGCTGCCCCTCACGCCCCAGCTCCGGGTCCCCCCGCACCACTCCGCTCGCCACGTTTTCATAATCCTCTCAGGCTCCGGGCAAGCGGCCCGCCATGGGACCTGATCATATAAGGAAAATACTGTGGGCTCATCTGGGGGCTGCAATGGGGACCGGAGAGCGCCCTAGCCTGCTACACTTGCCGCACCCCAACGGCCGCCCACCTCTCCGCCTCGGCCCCAGTACAGTACCCACACCCGATCCCGCGTCCCGCTGGGCGGCCTGAGCCTCTGCCCGACGGACTACGCAGCCGCCGGCCTCAGCCAATCCTGCCGCGCCGCCGCCGCGCCGGCCCCCGGGACTTCCGGTCTTGCCCGCAGCAGGCGGCAGCGGGCGCCCCGGCCCGGGCCGGATGGGCGCCTGCCAGCGTTTGGCGTTCTGTCTCCCAGTCGTCGTTTCAGCAGTCTCTGTAGCGGAGACCCAGGGGAACAGTCATTGCCTGTCGGGGCAGAGCCATGAGGGGTGAGAAGTGTCAAACCAAATTCTCTTGGTTTGGAAACAGAAGGACGAGGATGTCAGGAAAAAGTCCGCTCTCCAGGCGCTGGGGCCTCCCCGAGCCCCGCCCCCCGGGCCCCGGCGGACTGGAGCGAGGCGGGCAGCGGCGGGCGGGCTCGGATCCACTTACGCTGGGGCCCAGCTTGGGAGCCCCAGGAAATAGGTGAAAGGGAAAGGGCGTGGCTCTCGGGGCGTCACCCACTCTCTTGAAGTCTGGGTGACTGTGGGCGGCCGTTCAGCGTCCGCCAGACCAGAAGTCCGCGCCGTCGAGGACCCCGCCGCCACCATGGCTCTGCTCCGAGGTGAGCGCGGCCCCCTCCTCCTCTCCCTGCCCCTCGGGGCCCTGCCCTCCCCAGGCCAGGCCTCCGCCTCTGGCCGCCGCGGAGAGTGGTGGGTCGTGGGGTGAAGTTCGCTCAGCCTCCTCCGTTTGGGAGCCGACGAGATAAAAATCCAGCCCGAAAGGCTTGTTTGGGTTAAGGAGAAAACCGTTACTTATAAGGCGCTAGCGACGGGGATTTCGGTGCCAGTTCCTGTTGAGTTGAGATCAAAGTTTGCTTGCCTGTGACCTTGGAGGTCCTTCCTTTCCTCGCCTAACAGTGACCCCGCTAGTTCGAGTCCAAGTACCTGTATTAGGAAAAATATGGCGGCTCCGTAGGTCGCGGTCGCCTGCTGCGGGGCCTCGGTAGTCAGGGCTTCCCGGGTGAATCGATGCTGCCTGTCACCCGGGGGTGGCCTGGCCTGCAGAAATGGCAGCTGGTGTTCTGCTGGAAGACCTGCCCTGCTCCCTTTTCCTTTCTGTTGCTTTCGATTAGAGCAGTCACTCTTTACCTAAAGTATAGGATTATGAACTTGTTTAAAACAACTGTGTAATAACTCCGTTTTCAAAACAAAAGGGCACAGTCAGTGGAATCTTACTCTAAGGATGTACACCTGTGGAAGAGCATTCAGGTGGAACAACTATCAAGGCCCTGAGACAGGAAAAAGCTTGGCAGGATCTAAGAACCAAGCATTTTCGTGCTCCAGGGCCCTGTGGGCTCTGTAAGAAGGTGGGGTTTTGTTCCGTATTCGATGTAAGGCAATCCAAGGATTTAAAGACGGGTAATGACAGGATCTGATTTCCACTCTGTCCGGATTTGGGGAGGTCTTTGTAACGGCGAAGAGACCATTTAAGGACCTATTGTAGAGGTCCACGCAACAGCAAATGATGGGTTTGAGTCGTGGGGTGCAGTGTAGTTGGGAAGAAAAGGGGAGGGGTGAGTTGAGGTAGATTTGGAGGCGAATTTGATAGAACATAGATTGGATGTGGTGGGGTAAATGTAAGAAGGAAATGTTATGATGAAAAGTATCTGGTTTGGTGAACGGTGTTCATGATGATACCACTTAGGGAGTGAGGAAAACTGGGAAAGGAATAGATGTGGAAAGGAGGATTGAGAATTCAGTTTTAGGCAGAAAACTTTTTGGCGCTTGTGAAGCAGCCAAGTGGAGATGCCAGCTAAGCTTTGGTTAGGGGGATCTCAAAGTCAGAAGAACCAAAACTGCATGGTAACAAATCCCCAGGGAAAAATCGGCATTCTGAGACCAAATGCAGTGTTTACCGTTTCTTGCGACGTGGATTTCATTTGCCCTTGCCCTTCCTGACTGAATTTGATAGAAAGGTAGAGCTGCTGTTTCTCTCCAAGTGTTGTTTTTCCTGTACTGTCAGATGAGCACATCTTCTCCAGCCCTTTCTTGGAACTTCGTGAACTCACCGCACTCTGGGTTAATATGTCTCTTCATTGTCTTTGTTTTTGGAAATCTTCAGCTTCTGAATTTTCGAGTGTTTTAAAATGAGTGAGATTTCAATTTGGTGTTAAAGATTGTTAAGTTTTAGACCTTTAAATATCCACAGAAAGTTGACATCAAATGAAGGTTGATATGGTATCCAGTTTATGCAATTAAAAGAAGAAACCTTTAAACTTTAAACCTTTATAGTCTTTGTATCTGCGCATCCCAGATTATTTTTTAAAATATATTTAATAGAGGCACGCAGTCTCTACAAAAAATACAAAAATTAGCCAGGCGTGGTGGCACTCGCCTATAGTCCCAGCTACTCGGGAGGCTGTGGTGGAGGATTGCTTGAGCCCAGGAGGTCGAGGCTGCAGTGAGCCAAGGTCATGCTACTGCACTCCAATCTGGGTGACAATGAAATACCCTGTCTCCAAACAACCAAAAAACTCCAAAACCAAACATCTATATTTAAGAACATTTTCTGTCATCAAAATAATTGTATTAGTTCAGTTAAGGCCTTCCTTGAGCCAATCTTTACAGTCTGGGAGCATCAAGTAAGATGGAATACAGGTAAAGGGGAGGTTCTTTTTTTGTTTTTATTTTCCCACTCACACCCTTCCTTTGTAGATACTGCATATTTCACTACTAGCACTGCCCTCTCACAAATGCTTTCTTAGAATATGAGATATAGGGAGCAACATGTAAAAGGAACTTTGTAGAGAGACAAATGAAATTAGGCTCCATTGTTTCTGAGGAGAAGTCAGGGGTCATTTCCATGTATGCAGTATGTCGTTTTTATTTCCAGATGCTTTATGTTTTTGTTGTATTTGGATTTCAAAAGTTTGACAATGATGTGTCAAGCTGCTGGGGAAGGCAGTGTGGAGTGTTTTGTGTAGAGTTGGGGTTAACTAAGCTTGAATCTAAATTTACGGTTTTTAAATCAAATTTGGAAATTTCTTCTTTATTATTTCTGCAAGTTTTTTTTTTAATCCATTCTCTCTCCTCTCCTTCTATGACTGTAACTGTTGTTAGTCCTTGAGGTTCTGCCTGTGTTTTTTTTTCTGACAAAAAAAATTTAACGGACTTTGTTTTTGAGCAGCTTTAGCTTTTACAGAAAAATTGAGCAGAAAGTAAGGAGTATTACCATATGCTCCCTCACCCTATCCATCTCCTGTTAGTAACATCTTGCATTAGTGTGATACATTTGTTACAATCCATGAGCTGACATTGATACATTATTATTCACTCAAGTTCATATTTTGCATTCAAGTTCATTCATTGTTATTGAACAGTTCTACGGGTTTTGACAAATGTGCAAATGACTGATGTCAGTATTATAGTATCATGCAGATTAATTTCACTGCCCTAAACGTCATCTGTGTTCTACTTATTCATCCCTGTCTCTGAACCCCTATCAAGCACTCATCTTTTACTGTCTCCATAGTTTTGCCTTTTCCAGATATCATGTAGATGGAATCATACAGTATGCGGCCTTTCCAGACTGGCTTCTTTCACTTGGCAACATGCATTTAAGATTCCTTCTTTTTATGGCTTGATAGCTCCCTTCTTTTAAATTACTGAGTAATATTCCATTGTATGGCTGCATCACAGTTTGTTTATCCATTCACACATTGAAGTACATCGTGTTTGCTTCCAAGTTTTGACAATTATGAATAAACATTTGTGGGCAGGTTTTTGTGTGAACGTAAGTTTTCAAATCATTTAGGTAAATATAAAGGAACATGATTCCTGTATCATGTGGTTAGGTATGTTTAGTTTTGTAAGAAACTGCCAAAGTATCTTCCAGGCTGGCCATACCATTTGCATTCCCACCAGTAATGAATGAATTTCTGTTGTTCTACATCCTCACTAGCATTTCATGTTGTCAGTGTTTGGTATTTTAGCCTTTCTGAAATCCAGAAGGCTATAGTACTATCTCATTGTTGTTTTAATTGGCAATACCCTAATGACATATGATGTTGAACATCTTTTCATATGCTTATTTGCCAACTGTATATCTTCTTTGTTAAGATATCTGTTCAGGTCTTTTGCCCATTTTTAAATTGGGTTGTTTGGAGTTTTTTTTTAATTGCTAAGCTTTAAGAACTCTTTGTATGTTTTGGCTACCAGTTCCTTATCAGTTATTTGTTTTTGTAAATATTTTCTCAAAGTCTGTGGCTTGTCTTTTCATTCTCTTAACAGCGTATTTTGCAGAGCAGAAGTTATTTATTCATTTGTTTTTAGAGGGTCCTGCTCTGTCGTCCAGGCTGGAGTACAGTGGCGTGAATACGGCTCACTGTAGCCTTGACCTCCTGGGCTCAAGCAGTCCCCTCGCCTTGGCCTCCCAAATATCTGGGACAACAAGCACACACCACCACGCTCAGCTGATTTCTTCAGTGTCTGTAGAGACAGGGTCTCATCATGTTTTCCAGGCTGGTCTCAAACTCCTGGGCTCAAGCAGTCCTCCTACTTCAGCCTCCCAAAGTGCTGGGATTATAGGCATGAGCCACTGCACATAGCCAGAAAGTTTCCAATTTTAATGAAGTACAACTTAAGTTTTCCTTTCATGGATCCTGCTTTCGGTGTTACGTCTGAAAAGTTATCACCAAACCCAAAGTCATGTGGATTTTTCTCCTATGTTCCAAGAGTTTTGCATTTTTTATTTAAGTCTTTGTTTTCATTTTTGTTTTTTTAGATAAAATGTTTCACTCTGTCACCCAGACTGGACTGCAGTGACTTGATTGTAGCCCACGGTAGCTTTAAAGTCAGCTCCTGAATAGCTGGGCCTACAGGCACATTCCACGATTCCCAACTAATTTTTCACATTTTTTAGGGATGGGGATCTCGCTGTGTTGCCAAGGCTGGTTTCAAACTCCTATCCTGACACAGTCCTCCCGCCTCAGCCTTTTGAGTAGCTGAGATAATCGGCTTGAGTGATGGTGCCCAGCCCATTGTCAATGTTGAGACATT